TTTTTCTAAGTTTAGAGGTGATGAAAACAGAGACAAAGAATACAGGATTCCAAGAGGAGGCTTATTTGATTTGGTAATATGCCCGCATTACCTTTTTGAGATCTTGTATTTCTTAGACTTTATTTGCTTCTTGCTTTTCTCTAGGCAGTACTCTATACTTGATGATAAGGAGTTATAACACTAGAAGATGGTATCTCTCTAAATTTGATAATTTCCCAAAGGATGTTAAGGCCCTCACTCCCTATGTATTCTAAATGGTTCATGAAGAAATTTGAACATGGTTGATTCCTGCATAGTGTGTTAATTATGAACAACTGTATCTAAAGATCATAGTTTACATGATAGCTAGTAATTACTTATAATGTTAATAATATGTTCTATTTCATATACATAACTTTCCTACTAGAACTTAAGGTAGTAAAGAATATGCTATTTGAGGCTACAAATAAAGTTAAAAAATTATTGACTATGTTGATGAATTTCGGTACGGATAGAAATCAAATATGCGATTAATAGTGCTTGTGAAGAACATGATGATGAAAAGAATGACAATGTTTATTTTTTATATGCTTTAAGCATTTATAAAATATGTCGATGTGAATTATTTGTCTTATATTTCTTTAAATAATCTAAAGAAATAGTATAAAAAAGGAAGATGTGATTCATAATCATAGAAGTTCAAATCCGTCAAGAAACCTCATGACTTAATTTTAGTAGTGGATTAGAATATTACTCTTTATTCGTTGCTTTACAAAGAAATTGTAACGGCCCCGGAAAATTTAAAATGAAATATGTATTAAAAATATCAAATGCGGAAGCGAAGTCAAAATTTCGATTAACATCCCTTACACTAAAACCAAAAACGTGCTCACAAAATATAACAGATCAAACTAACTAAAGGAGAACTCGAAAGTAAAAGCTATGAATATGACTATGGAGTCTTCAGGCGTCCCCTTCGTCGTCCTCCTGCGGAACGGGCTCGGGAACAATGTCTTCCTGATCTGAAATGATTAAATAAGGAATGAGCTACACTAGCCCAGTAAAGACATCACGATATCTCACCGTCACAGAGGTAAAGGTGGGTAGAAAACACAAAAAGGCCAATGGAGCATAATTTACAACAAATTCTTTTATCAATGATAAATCCTTTACCATCCACTTACCTCGGTGAAATTCATAAAACAATATACGAAAGCAATAACATTATCATCATCATGAAATCATATAAACTGTATAACATAATACTTATCACACCTTTTGTAATTCAATCATTACACAACATATTTTCCTCATTTACCAGCCCACTAGTATCCATGGGGATCCATAGGGGTCTCGCTACCCGTTAACCCTTAACACTTGAAATCAGATTCCAGGGCCGTTCCCATACCTCGTCCGGTATGGGCGCCAAAACTATAAACCTCATTACCCCGTCCGGTATGAGGGTGAAACGGGCCGTCCCCATACCCCGTCCGGTATGGGCGCCAAAACACATACGGTCTCCATACCCCGTCCGGTATGAGAGACCACAATCCCGGTAGGGTTCCCTACGGACCCGGTCCGTCCACCATCTCCCAAGATATCTAGTCAGGCTGACCACATTATACAATTATCAATTTACATAACCTTTTATTCCCCTTTTCCTCAGTCAGCATCATCAAATCACACACAAACAAGCAACCAGTAATTTATGCCAAACAAGACAACATACAACATCGGGTTCTCAGTCATTCAACCCATAATCAGTAAAACAGTGATATATGCACACGAAACTATGAAATAAAAACATCAGACCTCATACTGCATTTAAAACCGTAAAATATGCCAAATAACAGTTAACCGACCAACACACTAGACTCGGGCTCCATTGGCGACCTTAAGCAATTTCACACATTCGTTGATTCAAGAATTACCGTTTTATCATTATTGAACTTTAATACCGTGATAGGAAATAGGGTGAGGGGTCCTTACTCGTTTTGGGGTCCGAACACGGCTTCACAGTACGCCTACAGGCTGTCCCTAATTTTTCCTGAATTTTTCTCGGGGAACTGAAACGCACTACCGGTACCTGCACGTGTTCCAAAAAATCTCAAATTAGGCCTAGGGCCCCTTTTTGGCCAATATCGCAATTCTGGCACGGTGACTCTGCCGTGCTCCGGCGACGGCGCCGCCGCTTGCGGTGGCAATTCGCCTCAGGTTGGCCGTTTTCGACCGTTTCTGGCCAAATTCGGCCACACTTGTATCGGTCCCTGCGATAAAACAACCCTAGGGCCCTCGGGGGGGCCAAAAAATTACGAAAAACCGAAGCTTACCGGCGGCGGTGCTCTCGGGTGCGGCAGCTCTCTGGTGAGGTTCGTGTTTTGGTGATTCGGCTCCGATCAACCTGTAGAGAAAAGAATGGTGATCACGGTGATATAAAAATTGCATCAAACGGAGGCCGGGAAGGGCCTCATCGGAGGCAAAAACCGAGGAGGGGCGCGGCGGCGCCGCTGGGTTTTGGCCGTGTTTTCCGGCCGTTTGGCCGGGATTTTGGCTCCGATTTGGCCATAGGGGAAATC